GGGCAAATGATGTCAGCTGTGGAGGATTGGGCTGTAGGGACAACACGGCTTTGGTGCTGGAATCGAGGTACATTTTACCTTATCTTTTTTAATGGGGGGGGGGAGGGTGGACCAGCACCATAAGTGTTACTACAACCAAAACCAGTAATTTATGAAAACATTGGTTTTGGTTTGAGTATCCATATAGGAATGAACTGGTAAATTACACCCCAACCAGAAAGCAAAGGTGCTGATTTTTCTACACATTCCATTTATGGCAAAATTGGGGAATATTTTGTTTTAAGTGGTGTGTTTGATTAAAAGCGTGGATTGTTCCAAATGTAGTGCTTTGTCTAAAACTTTGTCCCAAACTACCCGCTTTTAGTTAAAATACATAGACTTAGGACTGTGAACATTTTGCAAGTAGCATTCTGTGATTTTAAAAATTCAATTTATTTTTTAACCACATGCTGATGAGTCACTTGAGGTGATTTTGGTTTAAAAAAAAAAAACATGTGTCATATAATAAAGGTTTTAGTGTTCTCAGTTAGTGTGCAGGTCAGCTAAAAGCTCCTCGTGTGCTATATATGGCCAGCAGCAACCAGCTGTTAAGCTTCACTGCTGTTCATGGCAAAGTAAGAATTTTTTTTTGTGTTTTCAGAAATGGCTAAAACAAGATTAAAATATATGAAGAGGTTGTCTGAGTTAAAGATTTTATTACCATATCAGCTTTTCTCATCAAAATTTTACAAGTTGCTATTTATTAACCATTTAATAGATATAGGAAAACAAATATCTATCCAAATTGTATTCATTTGAAAATGTATTTAGTACAAATAAACAATATTCGTATATATTGAATATTTAAAAAAAAAAAAATAATCTACACAAATTGGATTTTTGGATTTTAGCACAGGTGTACATTTTAACAAGATTGTGTAAAGGACTGTCAATATCATTGGGATTTGGACATGAAATTTTTATTTTTTTGCTCTGAACAAACTGCTTTAGTCTACATATCGTCACTATTAAAAATTTATGGCATACATACGACCAGTAGTGTGGAGAATAGATCAACGTTGGCTGAGAGAATATGATGTCTAAATGTGTTCAGCTAGGACCCATCCTCTCCAGTGGTTGAACCCTATAAACCTCTGTAGCCTCAGAAGATATTAGACCAGAGAATTAACGGTCTCTTATAGCTAGGAGAATTAACAGCCTCCCATAGTTAGTTGGCTGAGAGAACATGATGATTAAATTTGTTCAGCTAGAAACCATCCTCTCCAGTGGTTGAACCCTCTAAACCTCTGTAGCCTCAGAAGATATTAGACCAGAGAATTAACGGTCTCTTATAGCTAGGAGAATTAACAGCCTCCCATATTTTTTTGGCTGAGAGAACATGATGTTTACATTTGTTCAGCTAGAAACCTTCCTCTCCAGTGGTTGAACCCTCTAAACCTCTGTAGCCTCAGAAGATATTAGACCAGAGAATTAACGGTCTCTTATAGCTAGGAGAATTAACAGCCTCCCATAGTTAGTTGGCTGAGAGAACATGATGATTAAATTTGTTCAGCTAGAAACCATCCTCTCCAGTGGTTGAACCCTCTAAACTTATGTAGCCTCAGAAGATATTTGATCAGATAATTAACAGCCTCCTATAGTTAGACAACAGACAAAACTGAAAAGACAAAGTTTTCAGACAGCTAAGAGCCAGCCCAATGAAATGGTCATGACAGGCAGAGAAGTACTCACTTAAACCAATCAAATAATTTAAATAGGGATCTTGGGATTAACACATTGAGTTCAGAAAACTGGTCAAGCTAAGTCACTTAAGATCAACACATTGAAGCCAACCATGGGGTCAAAAGATGACGCTTATAATCAACACACTGATGCAAACTGAATGCTCATAACAAAACACGAAAGGTACAACACATTAACAAAGACAAATGGTCAAGACAATCATTTTACGATAGGTTTGCTAATTCTTGCAAAAAGTCATCTCAGAATACACAAACATAATAAGTAAAATGACGGGTACAAACAATTTAGCAGCAACTTGATAAACCATTCAAGTTTGATATAATCGACTACCAAAATAATTAACCCGCGATCATGCAACATCCAAAGAACAGAGAGAAAACAAATAACATAGTTAAAGTATAGTTGGTATTCCCATATACTTATTAACCCCTTAAGGACACAACTTCTTGAATAAAAGGGAATCATGACGGAATATTTCCGTCATGTGTCCTTAAGGGGTTCATATGAAGAACGTTATTAAAAGTGAATATGCCAGGTATCTTGATGCCCTTACAGAGTTAGTAGTTCAACCAATGCAAAAACAAAAGGGCTCTGGGCAACGTAAGGTGCTTATAAAGACGCTTATGATACAATATTTAAAGTGCAAAAACAGATGTATACACGTATACATGCAAAACATGCACTGTGGTAGCGCCCTACTGGGTTCACCCTAAGAAAAGAAGAACAGATTCGGAGAGAGGAAGAGAAAACGATTGGAGAAAGGTAAGTGGTAAGGAGAGCGCTCAGTTGATGTTCTTGCACAGCAGGACTTATTTCAATGGAGTTAACAAAAACTCCTTGTAGGAGATTAATGGGGCCAAAGGAGGCAGTGACAGAGGCCCTGGCAAACTTCCAATAAGTTGTTAGACCATTCTTAAACAATCTGAATACATACCATCACAAGGGCTGTAGTGCTTATGGTACTTAGAGTGTTCCTTTAAACATAGCAGCAAATGTTAGTATTTTAAAGATTGTTGTACATATTTATCTACAGGTTTGTCCAGAGCTTTAACGGAAGGGACACATGGAAGAAGCAGTCCATTGGAACCAGTCTAAGAACACTTCTGATTTACATGAAAAAGTTACAAGAAAGGAAGGTTATACCGTATTAGATCACATTAAAATGCAATAGAACGATGCAGCTCATTAATTTCTGAGGAGATTAAATCAAACACGTTCAGTGTTGCCCAAAGATCAATAAGTACATGATAATATTGCATTACCATTACAAAAAGATACATTCATTGAACCTTGACTTGCAGTACCAGTTTATAACCATTTAATCACAAGAAAGTCAATTGTTACAATTAATTACTTATCCTTTTGACATTTAAAAGTATTTAAATATATAATTTAGAAATATTTTTTTTAAATATGCCAAAGTCACTTAGCGCGATAATTCTCCCTTTCTTATAATTTCTGTGTAACACATAACTACCTTTCTTGTTTTGGGCTTACGTAAAGATGAACATATAAACACAAGACATCAGTACAGTATACATGTGTAGGTGTGTGAAACAGATGAGGTGGTTTAAACCATCTGTGAGCTGTGAGTAGAAAAGATATAATCATTTTATGGATATAAAATCATAAAAAGTCAGACTTTTTCCAGTATACTGGTTCCTAACAATTTGTACCGAAGGTTCTTCTATGCCGTAAAAACCTGTTGAAAAGATGTCAATGGTTTTATTATTATTTTCACCAAGCGTAAGTTGAAATTTTGAGTCACATTATATGATGAGTTGAAAGCACATGTTCTAAAATAGAGCTTTATATTATATTGAAATTCCAAGCACTGCTTGTTCTCATATCAGATGATAAACATTTATTGGAAATAATAAAAGGAATTATGCATGCACTGTTCCTGGCACAATAGAAGGCATGCATCAGAGTCCAAAGAAAAAGAAAAAGATTGCGAGACTTTAATGAGTTAAACTTCATAGAGGAGATTTAAATTTGGGTGCTAAAACAAATATTTTTTTTAAGTCATCTGTCCCGTCTTTTCTTCTTTTTAATGTAGAATTCAATTCCTCTTCTCCTTGAGTGGTTAATGGACAAATATTCTCAATGTTTACGTGTAACAGCAGCAGGTAGCAGCTTTTAACTAGCAGGCGCGATGATTAAAATGAAAAGAAAATTACTATTGCTCGACATGCGTCATATAAAAAGATTTTACTTTTTTTGACGATGATTGCATGTGAACCTTCAAGTATGATATATAAACCCAGCAAAACTATTATAACTTGCCTTTGTTTTGCATTATACAAATTAGAGCAGTGGTTCTCAAGCTGCACTTAAAGTTACATAAACTGTACAGGATTTAGGTAATTTCTATTTTTGTTCCAATTGATAAAATGACAAAACTTGGACTGCTGTTTTGCCTTAACCCCTTAAGGACACATGCCATGTATGACATGTCATGATTCCCTTTTATTCCAGAAGTTTGGTTATTAAGGGGTTAAAGGGACTATAACTATCTCATTGAATTGATTATAGTACCTGTAATCCCCTGGCACTGTCCCTGCATTCAGCGCTAAACCATTCTTGAGTTTTCTAAAGAGACATGCATCATTTCGTACCAACTGTCTCATTCAAAAGTTTCCTCACTCTGTAGGCTGAAAAAAACATTTATTTTTTCTTTCCATATTTGCCTGTTTCTTCTTTCTTTTTTTTTTTTTCTTTTTTTTTAATTCTTTATTTTTGCAGTGCATATAGTGGTTACAGGTATACATATGGTACCCCAACGGCATTCCATATGCTGGTGTCAAGACATTAGTTACAGTGGGGGGTAGGCAGACAATGCACTTTTTTCTTTTATATATATTACGTAATGATAACAAGCTAATAGGTGTTGCTGAATGGTATAACATGTTAGATTAAGATTTCGTTTAGCTCAACTATTTGCACATCAGATTGTAGTTATGTTGCCATGACAGTAATTCAAGACATAGAGGTCAACGAGTAGCAGTAATAATAGGATTAAAAAAAAAAACTAGTTAAGATTAATAAACATGTTGCTTAAAGTTTTATACTGTACTGAGTATACAGGCTGCGCTTAAGAAGCTATTGCCTAACAGTTAAGAAGCTACAGCATAAATGGGTTGTATTGTAGGTACACAGTGGTAAGGTTAATTATTTACATGCTAGATCAGGATTGTTATGGTAAAGACTATGGTAGTTTTGCTATAAGGTTCTGGTACCAGATGTCATAGCGTCCTTTAATGGCCGTCAACCCTGCCGCTTGGAGGCTTTGGGGGTGAGTCTTTTTCGTTGTTAATCCCTGTGTCTTGTCTTGTCACCTCAGGGCCCAGGCTTTGAGGTTGCTGCTGAGTTGCCCGCTGCGTGCGCCGTGGTCTTGCAGTTTCCAGAGCTCGGACTGTGGTGCCGTGTCGGCCCCTCCGCCGGCCACACTCCATCATCAGGGCCCCTGTACTGTTGCCTCTGCTCTGATCATTGAAGGCTCTGCAAGTGCGCCCTCGGGCGGCTGTCAGGTGAGGGTTAGAGGTTCGGGCCCTCTGTGTCCAGGCCAAGTCTCTTTGATGGAAGGGACGGCTGGTGCTCTTGCTGTAGCGTTGCCGCCAACGGCGGTGGATTCTCAGCAACCTATATCGGGGTAGTATGCCCCTGGTGGCTTTGGGCCTTGTCTGGTCCGTTTGCGCTGTGTCAGGCATTTGATGTGGGAGTTTGCCTTGAGGGGGCCCGCTCACCTCCCGCTTCTCTTTGCTGTGCTCTTGGTTCTGACGCGGTGTCTCCATGGCGCGGGCCTCTAACTTTGCCCAGAAGTTTGTAAAGAGCCTGTCGACGTTGTGGAGCAAGCGCTCAAATGTGCTCTGGAGTGACATCGCAACTTGTTCTGTGTCAGGAGCTTGTGTGTCTGGAGTGTCCGCCATTTTAAGTTTGACGGTTGCTGCTTAAACTTGTCGCTTGATGGCTTCTTGTAGCCGGCTTGTTGGTGCTGGGTATGTCAGGAGGGGGACCGGGATGACCCCCACCGGTCCAGAGGGGGGGGGGACAGCTTGGTGCTATGTGCACTCCGCCGGGAATAGGGCTCAGAGAGCGGCCGCCTCTCCTCTGCCCACGCTTGTGTAGGCCGCAAGCCTGAAAGGCAGCGTTTCAGTGCCAAAACGGTTGGATTTTGGTATCACTGGATGCACCGTCGTTCCCTTATCTGGGAAGTCGTCGGTGGCTGGTCGGTTTGGCGAGTGGCCCCGGTATTCCGTCGTTTATCGATCCCAGTCTGTGGAGCTCAGGCGATGCGTGTCTGATCAGCTCTGCATCCAGGCTCCGCCCCCCTGTTTCTTCTTTCTTATGCTTTTAGCAACCACTCCAGAGGGGACACTGATATAACAAATGGTGTCCTACGATAGGAAAAGTGCATTGGACATGCCTGAAAGATTTACACATATACAGTTGGAAGATCTCTCGCAACATCCTGGCAGTGGGAGAAGAGAGGGAGTGCTTTCTTTCGGGTTTAAAAACTAATTGCCAACTGATGCATGTCCCTTTAACACTACAGAAGAGTCCAGGCCACCCACAGACTGCACCCTACTGGAGGTATGGTAAAAAAAAATTATCCAAATGTAGAAACAAAATATAGCAGCGTATTAACGGATCTTAGAGTGGCCAGGCATAATGCAATACCTATAGTAGGTGAAATATCAAGATCAAGGAATAAAGCAAGATCATGGATACCAGAGATACACAATAACGAGAAGCCCAGCTGGGTCAAGGAGTATGGATAACAGTAGTCAGATAAACCAAATCAGGAAACCAGGTATTCTCAGAATAAGGAACGTGCTATTGGGGCCATCCTGTTCAATGAGGCATTCCTGTCCAACAGTGACAGAGAGCAAAGGACCTAGTACAAGGAGAAATCAGACATGGTAGCAGATAGCAGCGACTTCTAAAAATGTTAGTATCATCAAAAGGTCCATCAAGTTGATCACTACTGAAAGTCCTTCTTATTTAGCATAAGCCAAGGTCTAAGGCTTCTGATACCAAATACACAGGACAATTCTGTGCTAACATCAGGTCTTAATATACTTACTTCCCTGCTTTGTATTTTGTGGTGTGCTTGGAGGTTGACATCATTCACACATGGAGATTCAAGACAATGATTATGAGAACAATGGCTGAGTGGTTTATAAATGCTTCCAGATTCATGACATGGCACTATTTTTGTTTAAAATACACTTTACAATTCTGTATTTTTTACATGACATTATTGATAGGATTATGGTTTCTTTATTCTTAGCTGAGCCAACCCAATTGTTTCTGTCTCCTTAAAGGATTGGTTCAAGCATTCTAGCCACCACAGTCTGCTGCCCCAGTAATGGGGCAAACTATTTTGCAAAGGTTTGCCGCCTTACCTGGGTAACCACTGGGCACTGGGTCTCCTTTATAGGAGGCTCAACAGCAGAGCTGCAGAAGCCGGATGCTGATCCTGCCACTCATTCATGGTTAAGAGTGTCAGGTAGATAGTGAATGAGCATCTGTGCACAGAATATAGAATATGCACAGAATTGGCATTATCTAGTCAAGAACTATTGTATCCAGCTCCTGATAAGAAGCGGTTTATGGGATTCTATGAGACCTTACTTTGAAAATTACTAGAGAAACCGTCAACTCTTGGACCATGCAGAAGATGCAAATTTGCAGCAAACACAAAACATGCAGATGTGAATAGTTTGGAAGTATCTAAAAAAGAAATGTTTTTAAATCGTTATTTCTATAATGCATTTAAACTCCAGCTTTAAATATTTCTTTAATTGGAATGAAATTCATGTGTAAAGGAATCTTACTTGAAAGTAAAGCTTTTTTTCTTGTTATTTCATGCATCAGCATTGGGAGCACGTAATAAAATGTTTTATGCAAGCTCTAGCGTAGATGATAATCAAAAATTGTGATAAACGTTTGTCTTAATTGTTTTTGTAAAGAAATCTTATCATTAATTACTGTTTGTATTTCCATGCTAGAGAAATTGTCACAGCCCACACTATCTCTCTTCTATCTTGCAGTAATTATTTGAAGATAGCTGGATTCTGTATAGTAATTTACTGTACATATCATCTGCAAATGTACCAAGCCTTGAGCTTGGCTGATCACAAGAAATAGCTGGCAGTCTTCCAGCTTTCAGTCTACATTTTAAAGTTGGGTTGACGACTGACGATTGACGACTTTTGTATGTTTAATTCAACAAAGCTGAACTGCTGCCGAATGGTTGTTAAAAAGCTACTACTCTTAACTCCAACAAAATAAAATATTTCCTCAAATATATGGAATGCAAACAAAGCATTATAGAAGAGCAACTGTCAAAGCGTCATCGGAACAATGCATTTCTAAGGTTTTTTGTATTGTTAGCCTATAGTTGAGGTGTCTGCTAAAATCCTATATTAAAAATAATGTAAAATAAACTCTCTTAACCCTTTCAATAATGGAGCTGTTTATTAAAAAAAGGAAATATTTGAATCAAATATTTATTTACACTTAGATAAATTTTAAGATAATTCTTAGCTTATTTTAATATTTTAAAAATGAAAAACGGTTCAATTACTATACTTAGTGTGATGTCTTTAGTGTTTAATGTCAATCGGTTGCCTGTTATTCTGGCCTGTGGGATCTGATCATATTGCATAAACTATGATTCTATAAGAATATATGGACATGTGGTCCAGCCCTTCACAGAAATTCCATCTTGATGCAAGTAATTAGCAGATATGAAAAGCATTCCATGACTTGCTATATAATGTTGAAGACTAACAATAACAGACATCATATTTCTCACAGTAGACATGAGCAAATTGAGCAAGGTATCTTTAAATAAATTACCAAAATATTGTTGTTTACAAGCTGATGAAATATCCATTGCAAACAGTATAAAAAACTAGATGTAGATAATAAGAAGATAGAAGATATTGTTCAGACATTATCTTGTTTGGGTCCTGGGACCTAATTGTTGATATGAAAATTAAACCATTCCAGTCATTAGAAGCCAAGATTATGAGAATCATCAAGGTCCTGTCTTGGACAATGTTGACTTATATGGCTGCATGTATTCAAATAATAGAAAATCATCTGTATATATATAAAAAAAAAAAATCTGCAATTCAAGATCATTCTATATAGGCTCACTCTGACAAGGCCAGGTGTTGGTGTTTTTGAGCTGGAGACTTTGTGCGGACATCAAGTCTTTGCGTCCCAATGGGTTCCTTCTCATAAGTTCAGGTTGAATCCATGGACTTTGGTGTATGTTGGGACTGATTACTATTACTCCTATAGAATATGGAACAGTCAGACTATGACAGAAGATCATGATTGAAGTTATTCTTGAAAAAAAAAATGATATCAATTATTGCTAGGCTACTTAACTAGAACATGAGAAAGAAGTGTTGGTTTTACTGGACGCAGGGCTACATAGACATGGAAAGACCTAATTTGATAAATGTTTCCTGTACACTGGAAGATGACAATTTCAGGAAGAAATTGCAGCATGCATTCAAGCAGCCAGTTGCCAAGTCAGGATGCATGTCATAACCCATAATACAAGTGACAAAGCCTAACGTGTTTAATGTATACCAATCCCGTTATTAAGAGGCCTCTGACCACAAAACACATTAGGCTTTGGCGCTTGTTTTACAGTTTGTGACATACATCCTGACTATGGTGGCTGGTTACACGCTCTGCGGTTTCCTCCGGTGAGTGCAATGTATCAGTTACATGAGAAAGAGGAGAATTCAGAGTCCTTTGCAAAGAGCTTTCACTTGGTGTATTTTCTGGTATGTTGCTGTCCTATGGATTAAGCACTGAAATTAAAAACTCAAAGAATTAAGTAGTTGCAAAAGCTAAGAACACAGTTTCATTACTAGGTAAACTTACATTCTATTGAGTCATACTCTAGTAATAATAATGCTAAAGCTGTACAGATAGTGAGATAGCTCTGTTGTTGCTGCTTCACCTGAATTGCCTTTAGTACCTTAAGTACTAGTACTGCAGTTTTGATTACCATGTAGGCAGAAAAAAACCTAAACCTTTTAAGGTCAAAATATTAATTAATGGGTACAACAGCATTATTCAATGCTCTGTATTCTAAAGATGCTTAGTCTAATTATGCTTAGTATACGTGAACATTATGGTAATATACATCCAATATTTTTACATCCTGGTGACAATTTTAGGAAGATGCTATCATGGTCTCATACCCATAATGCATAATATTTGAACGTCAATATGTAGCAATATTATCATACCTACCTGTCACACCTACCTGCATTTCCTCCTTTTATGATAATATTTCAGATAAAGTTATCACTGAAACGTTTTATCACCTTTTTATTACTACCAATATTTATTTAAAAGGTGACTGATTAAATAAAAATATAGCTGGCAAATTTTCATAATTTAAGCATCCCTCTAACAGCATTCCATATTCAAAATTGATGGTTCGTCCTATATTTATATGCTAGCCATTCATCCTGTGTTTCAAATAAATAAAATACAATTACCTAAAAATGTAGTTAAGTTGGGTAAATTAATGTATAATTATTCTACACGCCAAATTACAGTTTTTGATTGTATGGCATTATATCAAATGTGGTACTTTTTAAATAATATACTCGAGTATAAGCCGACCCGAATATAAGCCGAGGCCCCTAATTTTACCCCCAAAAACTGGGAAAACGTATTGACTCGAGTATAAGACTAGGGTGGGAAATGCAGCAGCTACTGGTAAATTTCTAAATAAAATTAGATCCTAAAAAAATTATATTAATTGAATATTTATTTACAGTGTGTGTATATGATGAATGCAGTGTGTGTGTATGAGTGCAGTGTGTGTGTATGAGTGCGCAGTGTGTGTGTATGAGTGCGCAATGTGTGTGTATGAGTGCGCAGT